TGGAGAGGATTGTCTTACGAATCTCCTCCGACTGGACTGGTATGAAGTGGAAATTTTCGACCCCAGGACGAGGCAGACTAGAAATAGAAGACAAGGTGTTTCGCCTAGTTAGGTGATCCAGAGATGAGACAGTGGAAAAATGATTATTAAGTTCATCTAAGCCAATTGAAGAAGGAAGGTTAGCGGGTTGCGGTTTGCCGATACCTAGAGTTCTCAAGAACTTCCAAATATCAGCTGGAGATGAAGAGGAAATGTTATTGAGAATGTGGCGGCGTTTGGCGTTGCGTACCATCTGATTACATCTGTTCCTCGCAGTTTTATATGCCGTCCAGTTCTCCTCTGTCCGATCCCTCTTGTGCTTCCGAAACGCGCGGTCCCTGCGACGCATAGCCGCCTGAATCCCTCTGGTCATCCACGGTGCCGGAGCACGTTTTAATCGGATCATTTTGACAGGCGCATGATGGTCGTAAAGGTTAATGACAGCTTTGTTGAAAATTTCAATCTTGTCATCAACCGTAGTGGCTTCCATTAGTGGTTCCCAGTCTATACTGGACGCGTCCTCCAAAAGCTTCTCATTGTCCACCTTCCCAAAGCAGCGTCTGTACAGTACCCTGGGTTTTGCCTTGGGTGGTTTCAGGATGTAGGAGAGGTATATAAGGTCATGATGAGAAAATGCCGGAGCGTCATGTTGACCATGACAAGAGACGAGGGACGGATTGGATGTGAGGATTAGATCGAGCCAGGAGTCGTCTGCGACAGTATTGTGGTGAGTGGGTTGGAGTGGTAATATGTGCAGACTAGCTGACTCGACCAGGTGTAGGAGTTTGCGAGATCGAGGGGAGTGGGTAAGGAGATCAGTGTTAAAGTCACCCATGATTACGAGATGTTCGTACATTGAACCCACGGATTCTAAAACTGATTCGAATTCAGTGAAGTAATCGACAGTTGGAGGGCAATATACAACCCCAATAAGAATTTTGGCCCCCTGGACACAAACCTCCAAGAATATATACTCAGCAGGACAATTTACGGGAGAAAGGTTGAGTAATTTGTAAGGGAAGTCACTGCGAAGATACACTGCCACACCTCCCCCCCTCCTAACAATCCGGTCATTCCTAAGCAGAATGTAACCTGTAAGGGGGTAGGTAGTGGATAGGAGTTGCGGCTTGAGCCAGGTTTCAGAAAGCAGAATGGCATGTACATTACTATTGTTAAATGTTTCATAGAAGTCACTGTAATGGCTCGGGAGACTTTGTGCATTTATGTGGCAGACATTGAAAAATTTGTCGGACGAGAGAGAACGATTAATTAAATCACTAAGGGAACCGCCCAAAGAACGGAAACTGTCATTAGTCGAAGAGACATCATCGTCAGCAGATATAAAATCGTCAGTATCGCACATATGCTGGAAGTACTACAAGATATATGAATTTTATAAAATATATGTTACTAATAAATATATATATATATATGTATATTCTATTAAAAAGTACTTAAATAAGTATGAGCGCGGAACAAATAAGGCAACAATTAAATCGTAAACGCCTGCATCCCCACACCACCCGCCAGCTAACAACATCGATGCACATTTAAAAAAGATGGATACGTTGACATGAAAATGCGATAGTAAAATGCAAATACAACCAGGATAAAAACAAAATTAAGAAGAAAAAGAAATTTAAAGATAATTAAACAAAGTGAACAAAACAAATAATAAAACGAGATTAGAGCAGCATACATTAGTGCAACAAAAAACGAAACTTTACTACATCGCGTCAGTGGGTTGAAAACTTACTATTGAATGACCATAGAGTGTGTATGTGTGACAACAAGCAAAGCTGGTAACTAAACGTAACGTCAAACTCAAACTTTTGTGATTGTCAAATGTCAATTGTTGTGAATGATTTTTGAGTGTTAAATTAAATAATTAAGTGTACGAACTGTTGAGTGAACATGGTTGTATTAAATTAAGTAATTTTAATAATATTGTGTAGGTAAACAGCAAAACTAAATCGAATGTAAAAATGTATATACCTGCGCTTTGTTTACAATACAGGATAGTGGGTTGAAGTGTAATTTTATTACTGTACCACCCACTGACACAAAAGATGATAAAATAAAGGTAAGTTGTTATAACAATTATTCGAATGACTCTCTTTTCGGATTTGTATGCACTGATAGCTCAATATATTGCGTCTAATACCTATATTTTCCCCTTTTGCAGACCATCGCCCGGCGCCTTAGGGTACTTTGACAGAAGTGGCTTCAGCTCGTCCATCGAAGTAATTCGGTGTTTACTTCCGTCAAGAGGTTTGACCACTATGACACCGTCCTGGGTCCAGCACGACTGAACTCCAAAATGCAAACGCGCCTTTCCGAAGACCTCTTGCCGGCGTCTTGTGAGGAACTCCTTGACAGAGATGGAAGAACCCTTGAGACCCTTTTTGGCTCTCCACACCGAAGACCTGTCTGCAACTGCCCCGAATCTCACTAATATTGGCCTGTGCCTGTTTTCTGTCTTTGATGTACCAAGCCTATGGCAAGCCTTGAGGGATGCTGGTGTAAAGTGTTTCAGAGAAAGCTTGTTCTTCAATATATCTAGAACAATCGCATAGCAGTCCTCGCCATCATTCTCCTTAATTCCGTGGAACAACAGAGCCTTTCTTCGTTTCCGGGTCTCAGCATCTTCGAACTCCTTAACACATGCACTGATCTGACTGCGGAGCAAGCCCAGCATGCTATACATCAGTGTTCTGAAGGTCCGGAGGTCCTCTGCAACTTTAGCTACCGTTTCTTTGGCTGGTCCGGCTGACTTCATCTGACTCTTCAATTCAGCCATTCCAGTCGCGAACTTATCCTCCAGTCTCAACTGAACAGTCAATACCTGGGCCAACTGTTCCTCCATCTCCGGCTGCTACTGTGGCTCAGTGATTCTGTGATTACTGTGGGTCCTAATGATGCTTAGTGTGATGTGCTGATGATGGGCTGGCAGGTGGTATCAGACTTAGGCTTTAAGTTACGTTAAAGAGCCACAATTGTAAATAAAAAAATAAAATAAAATAATAATAATAAATGGAATTTGTAAATAAATAAAATCCTTAACAAAAAACACGTCTGACACTTGTTGGCGCCTACCCGCGAATCTCTCTCTCTAAATTTAAATCACATTATAAAATATTGCAAAGCTATTGAACTCACTTCAAGTAAAATGGTCGTAGTTCTTGTATCTGTATCGATTTTAAATAACTAGCTTTTTGTGTTTGTTTGAGAATAGGTTATTTTAACAAATCGTCCAAAATTTTCGTATCTAGTTGAACTAAAACTTGAGTGGCCAACTATATCCTTAGTCAAATGGCTACATGCGCGACTACTAAGCAAGCACGGGGTGTTGGATTCGGTGCTCAAACCAAGAACTGTTCTACGGAAGCTTTCGTTTTTTCAAGAATTCTCTTAGTAACACGAAATTTGGACATAAAATACGTGATGTTATTAACTAAAAATCGCGGGTTACTCACGTGAATATACTAAGAAAAGCTCTACTAGTCCTAGTACTAGCGCGACTGTTCATGAGGAAGAACCCCTCTGTGGTTCGAAACTAGTAGAGCTTTTCTCATAATATTCACATGAGTAACCCGCGATTTTTAGTTAATTTAGTATGTCTCATGCATGATATTTATTATAAAAACATGATGTTATGTATGTTATTGCTATTAGTAAACTTCTACATACACCATCAGCGAATTTATATTCGCTTGTTCGTATATGTATATGTTCAATACGTCATTAACGACTTACAAAAAGTACTTTTACACAGCAATCTTACCCTTACCTAACAACTAGATATAAAGTGCCCTGTCAAACAGTCACTCTCTATCTCTTTCTACATAATCGTGCCATCAAACTACAGGGGAAGGGGGGTGAAAGTAATCAATCGTTATTAATGACAACGACCTTAATAAACGCAAACTCATTAGCAATCGTCAACTGTCGTACAGAAGGCCTTTTAATAAAGCACACTGTATTTGCCTTGACTTTAGTTTATTTATTTATCATTTCATGTACACCGTGCAGCAGATAATATTATGACGACAAAACATCACAAGCATGAGATACATAGGTACTGCATATCCCTTAAAGGATTTAGTCCTGCAGACCTGGGACAGGAAAAGGACTATAAACGTTTGTTTTTTTTTATTGAAGTTAGATAATCATTTAAATATAATTTCTGTTAAGATATTAACAGCCAGTGTCAACCTACTGCTGGATTTGGGACATCCTCTACATGTGTCTACTCCCTCTATAGTTCGCCATAACCTCCATGCTTGGCCCGATGGAGACTGCAGTTTAAAAGGTTCAGTTTTGTGAAAGAACGCTGATGACCAGTCTATCAAATTTGCAGTTCAATAGTCGGATCTTAACCAAGAAAAGTAGAGGTGATGGTAAAAGATTAGTTAAAAATTCTACCTATATCTATATCAAAATGCATCGAAATCAGTGCAGTACTTTAGTCACAAAAACGCTACAAACATACAAACCTTCCGACAGACAGTCAATACATACATACATAGCCGTTTTCATATTGTAGATACCATGTTGTGATGAATATTACAGTTTTTAATTACTTAGGTAAAATGCTTCGGTACTTCGAGCCTTGCTCCGGTAGGTTACGGTTAGCATGTGTGCCGTTTACCTATAGATGCCATCGCGTTATGGCTTTTGTGTTAGATAATAGATAGCAATCAAATGCTTTTAGATACTGACCTCAATTGTACAAGTATTTAGTGGAAGTTTATTTGTGTTTTTGTTCCATTAGAAAATGGTTCTTCGAAATGACCATTTCATTTCAAAATATTTTTATAGATTTTTTAAAAGAACGGAGTCTTAAATTGTTCTCAGAACTTGGTTTAAGGCTTTTTCCCTTGTGTTATATGAGTTGAATCATATATAACAGTGAGGTTTACACATTTCATACATTTTGCGGGAATCAAATTTGTGACACGATGCAGACCAGCCAGTTATACAACATAGGTACTTACATAGTCTCTGCACTTGCCGCATAATCAAATTAATTTCTCCATACCCAAAGACAAGAAAACAATACCCGTCTAAAAAGACAAGATGTTATTTTACCACCTTTTCTATATCATATTCTTCATTTGTTCCCAGGTTGTGCATTCCCGTCCCGGTGGCACGGCCGCTGGTTCCAATCGGGCGTGATCCAGCCGATCCTCATCGAAGGAGACAGACTGTCTAACAAAGGACGGTGCCTATCTTCGGAAGGAGATAAGTTTCTTATTGTTGATGAGTAAGTTAGGAGTTCAGATTTATTATTAGTATGTATAAGATCATTGACGCCCGAATACTGAAAGGTTACTCTATTTAAAGTTGTACTTAAATATCGTGTCATTTCTATCATTTTACAAAGAATTTGTAGTGAAAATACTATAGATAGGTATTTAGGCGATAGCCTTTCAGTATTCGTGCAGAAAAAATCAAAGTAATTGTTGGGTAAAAATTGGGTCAATATTTTGAACATGCTATTATAAAGACACCTACTATATAGAAGCATGAGGACTTGACTTCGGCCTTTACACAGTATACTCAGCGTATGCCATAGCATAACCCACAAACACCGCGTCAACTTCGCACTTCCCTACCACATTGGATTCATACGAAAAAGTAGCATAGCATTTTTAGCACCACATATCGGTAATTTGTATTAGTCCCACAGAAGTCAAAAGTAACCGAAACACTTCAAACAATACATGCAAACATTCAGGGGTTTACCTTCAAGTTATCCGGAGGGTAACACAACACGTAACAGTAACACAAGCAATTTTTAATAAAACTTTTTAAACGCATGTTACACAGTAAATCTCGAATCATTTCTCTTTCCTATCTCTTCGTTTCGTTTCGTTTGCGTCGTATACATTTAATCTCTCAATCTGTATGTCTTATCGATAGCGCTTAGCTTTCGCGACAAGGGGATAGCAAATATCTGCGTCGTCCTAATATCAGGAAGAGACGGGAACGCTTAGTTACCGTCTTAAGTCAGAAATGTCTGTTTCTTAGTGGCTTGTAAATATAGGTACTGGGATGGAATTACTGGTTTATTGTTTGGTGTGGTTCTTGGATGTGTACGTGTGGGAGAGCCATGCTTCGGCACAAATGGGCCGGCTCGACCGGAGTGATACCACGGCCTCACAGAAAACCAACGTGAAGCAACGCTTGCGTTGTGTTTCGTCGTGTGAGTGAGGTTACCGGAGACCCAATTACCTTCCCCTTCCTCAATCTCCCCAATCCCTGAATCCCCAACGATCCTCAAACTCCTAACCCCCAAAAAGCCGGTGACGCACTTGTAACACCTCTGGTGTCCCATGTGTCAATGGGCGACGTCGATTGCTTACCATCAGGTGATCTGTCTGCTCGTTTACATTTTTTATATACCATGAAAAAAAACGTTTAGTATTCTAGCTATGAAATAAGTGATTATGGGAATCCTAAGGACCTATTTGAAGGCCGACGCCAAAACCTCCCGGTCAGTCTGTTTTGCACTGGTTAAACTATAACTACTACAGTCAAACTTCAATTTGTTAGAACATCTGGTTTTTTGGTTATGATAATTAATTGCAACACTATTCTCAAGTAACTTTAGAGTCCAAAATCGTTCAGTAGCCTCGATTTCGCGTTTCCTATCTGCTATACCGCCCCTCTGCATTGGTGCACTGGTTCGTGCCTTGTGCCAACAAATCTTCAATTCACTGCATTACCTGCTGACGCCCTATATTTCCTACATTCCTCCTAGTAACTGCCCACTGTGGATATTTTACTTCTAAATCTATGGGATGTACGTAACTGATAATACGGTGCTCGTTGTAAACGTAATATTTAAATGTAGTAGCTAAGAGATATGGACATAAAAGAACTATTTTATTATCATTAAACAAGATTAACATTTCTATTCATACATTAAATATGTTATCAAAGAAAATTAATCTGGTCAAAGGTATTGTGACTTGTTTAAAAGCAGCTTCACAAAGAACTTAGGACAGCGCGCAGGTTCTTACAGCACATTTTGCATCAAGATTTCTTTCCACTACATTAATAGGTACCTACTATACTATTACAATATTTTCATTCTGACATAATTTCTTCACAAGATACCAAATAATTCATTTCCAAAGTCTTCTCCTAATATAATTCCATTGTCCATCAATGCCAGAAAAGGTCGCCAAAAGAAAAATCAAATTCCTACATTGTTTCCGCTACTGCAGTGCATAGGTTCGTGTTTTGTGCCAACAAATCTTCAATGTATGGTGTACCTGTTCGTATATTTTACAACGGGAAGGTAGTGGCCAGTCAGCTTCACCTGCAATTTAATATCGACCTTATTAACTTACATAAATTCACTCTGAACTTGATACCGACGTGGTCAAAAATACTGTCGCATTCTAGAGTTTAGTAGATGACACCAGGAATATGGGATTAATGTTTTATTACAATAGTGTATAGAAGAAAATTAAAAAAACTATGTAACATTTTATTTTTTGCTTGAATCTAAACTAATTTAATGATGTTTTCATTAATTTTCTTTACAGAAAAGGCTGTTACCGCTGCGTAGTGATGCATGAAAAACATAAAAACGTTCTACAATATAAAGAAAGTAAGTATTAAGAACAGAATCCTTAACACCAGACTACAATCTACAAAAGAAAAGACGTCATTACATAACGTAAGATTCGAGGCCAAAAATATCTACTACACTTACAAAATCGACATCAAGTACTATAAGAAGGCAAAGTAAGTTGAAAGGCTATTTGGTACACTCATATTCATCAAATAAGGATGAGTTAATGTGGTCCCCGCACTATACGGGCTATCAAGGGAATTTCCTGGACACATAAACAGGACGCCTAATTTTCTAGCGGGGTTCTCGTAATGAATTACATTACCATTCGGGTTTATTTAGCGCGGACTGTACTTTCGGTAATGAGTAATGACTAATGGTAACAGATAGCCGGTTATATCCATTATTAATATTGGTGACTTTGTCTTTAAGGTGATTTGTTTTGTTAGAATTGAATTATGGTACTATTTGCAAAGTTATAGGTATGGGTCTGCTATTTACAAATGTCACTTGTAACTCTGTATGTGATGCGGGTGTATAATATGAGCCGCAACTATTGCTTACCATCAGGTGAAAAGGCTGCTCGTTTGCCGGCCTCTACTTAAAAAAAGCAGCACAAATTAACTATTCAATAAAGGCCTCCTTCTTACCTAATCGCGGAAGGGAGACAGTATTCTATAGCTGTATATATTATAGTAGTAATTAACTGCCTTCTTATATGGGGTGTGTTATGTGCTATATTCTACACGCCTGCCAGGTGGAATGGAGATCTACTGTTAATGCTGATATGGGTATTTTTCTTCTTTTCAGCATTTTGCCATCGAAGAGACGCCTTACCGCACCTGTGTTCTTTGATTACTGGAGACGCTTTACTTTACTCAATGTTTAGAGAAAACGCGGATCCCGTCGACTGCCCATTGAAGGGACCGTTTTCTTTTACTTATAATAGGTAAGTAAACATATGATGATTATATTTACTTATTGCTTTTTTGTCTTATAAGTGATCGTTAGTTCATTAAGTGTCTATATACCTCTAATATGTTTTGGTATAACACGTAATTGTCGATTTCAAACCGCCTCAAGTCAAAAAGATAATTTATCAAATTGCTCTTCAGAACGACACTTTTTGAATTTTAGTTCAGCTACGACATGTTTTAGATAGTATCTATCCCCAACCCTATATGTCAATACAGTAACTAAAATATGTAAGCAATATTTCTAAGCTCCACAACTATTACAAACATTACTATTCACATCACAAACCAAATAAAACAATCGAAAACTCGCATAAATCTTCAGAGCTCATACAATACACGTCTATATTCCGTTGATGACGTCACCGACAGTTGACCGGCAATTAAGACATGACACGCGTCATGACGTCACTCGGTAGCAGGACGAATGACGGCTCTTAATGACGTGTAATTAAAAACCGTTGGTAATGTATTACCAATCGAGCGTCACTCAAAGTGCTCTGTAATTTGAAAGGTGATGGATTGTTCGCGATGAGTTCTCGTTTAAAAAGGGGGATGTTCATAAATGCATTTATTATGACATTGAAGATGTAGTGGTGTGGGATGTAGTTTACAATTTGTGGAATATTTTATTTATTACTTGATGATTAAAAGTTGTCTTAAGTTTTAAAGTAAATTAAGTCTCTAAAGGTACAACTAAGATGTGGGATTTTTTTTTAATGGGGGAAAATCATCGAATGACTGCTCCCGCCTGGGTGAGGCAGGAAGGAGTGTCAGACTCTTACTGACTAAAAACCACCCCGTTCCTTCTCCTGCACGTCGAGCCGGAGCCTCGGTAACCCGTTAGGTTCTCCGCAACAAGATGTGGGAATAGATCGGTAGTCTTGCATAGAGATCACATTTTAACTCAGTAATCTTTGAATTCCAGAGGTCATGGTGACTGTAAGAGTCCAGTTTCATCTATCGAGAGCTGCACAGAAGACTCGAGACTACTCCTCAATTATCAAGCATGTCCAGATGTGTACGGCTCCGAAAGTACAGGTCAGTAACTTATGAGTGATGGTAATTAAACATCAATCAATAACATCATTAAACAAAATGCTGACGGTGGTAATGAATGTGATGATGACACGTATTCAGTAACAGATCTAGTAAATGAAACAGATAGTAATCATAAAAAAGAAGAAGAATATCAAGTAGATACGGAATCAAGAGCTAAAAATAATTAAAAACAAGTAGACTTTTGAGAATACTAGGTAATCGCTAAGTACATAGTTGGTTAGGTTGGTGAAGACACATCAACATAATAAGAAGCTTTATTGTTCGACATAAAACGAAAGACAGACAAGACAGCCAGTATCCAAAAAAAACTAAAAAAAAACAATGGAACGTAAACCCTAATTAGCTGACCCATTTCTGATTTAACACAAACATTAAAGAACGGAATATCGTAAACAAAATCGTTAAACTGAAGTCAAAGTCAAAGCATTTATTTCAATTAAACCATAGTTTGGTACTTTTGAAACGTCAACAAATACAAAATAAATAATAGTCTGTCAGTCAGTCCGTCAGTGAAACTAGGTGAAGCTAGGTGCTCATTCCAAAAAGTAGATTCGAATGGAGAAGAACGAGCAAGAAACTCCATTCGTTACTCTTTTTGTTCTACAATGTCTCTGATACATATTTCAATACTGTACGCATATGTAAGAACAATGCAAAGACATGCTTGACGAATTATACTAATAACTTACTAAAATTAAAAAAAAATATAAAAATCTTGAAGTCCAACATGGTGCTCACATATGCATACTGACAATCCATAGAATTAGTGCTTCTATACAAGAAAAGGAAACTCTTTGTTTGTTTGACTAATAATGTTTAAAAACTAGAATATTATCTTAAACAGCTATTGGTACAGCAGAAACAATTTGTGTATTTTCGAAAGCTCGTCTTGTTAGACATTGGTTACAAATGGTTGGGCAGTGTTCCAGCCGAGGTGTCAACCATTGTTAGATATAGTCGCGACTCGCGGCTGTTGTTCGAAATAACCCTTGTGTTAAAGGACATATTGGTGACTCATGGACGCCATTTTATTTTAACTCGTCGAGTACCGGTTTTATAGACCCAATTAAAGAACAATAGGTCGCGGTCACCGGTGACCGCTTGGTGTTTGACAGTTTAATTCAATTGTTTATTGATTATTTTAAGTGACGGTTGTTAATTATTTAAAGTTAAATGCTTACGTAAATACAAGTGGGTTTTTCGCAATTGTTTATTAACATACAAAATTGATTGATGATAAATAAATTGAATCACGTATTCTGTACTGCTATTTTATTTATTAACCCTTAGAACGCCACGTCAGTCACCTGTGCCTGACGCTAGTGGAGGTTTGACTTTCACCATTTTAAACTTGGCAGTTAAAGTATTAAGCGTCAATATGTACTCCCAATGGCATACGAGTAACAAAATGCATTCACAAACAATAGCCAGCTTTAAGCAAATAGCACAGATTTCAATTTCAATCATCATCACCCGAATGAACTATTAAACGAAATAAAAAATAAAATATTACAACAAAAACGAGGAAAATAACTTCAAAAGCGTAGTAAAAAACGGGAATAAGAAGAAAGTACATAACAAAAAGGCATTTCCACTCAAAAGGGAACATTTCCGAGCAATTCCCATAGTACTTCCCCTTTATGCCGTCGGCGGTATCTATATAAAACTTTATTTGTGCAGTCGTCTGTCTCAATTGTCTACGTCAACGGCGAACTGTGCGTCTATTCTCGGTTGTTGATTTCGAACAAGAAGTTAACAAACTATGAGTAGGTACTATAACTGGGCTTGCAAGTTTGTCATTTGAGTTCTGTTGCTAATGCCAAGTTCTACGATTGACTACACTTACCATATTTGTATAGAAAATGTCTTAATAAGTTGTCCATTTGGTTGGCTGTTAAGAGCTGTCGTTGTTGTTATAATTTTAATGAGACGATCTTAAATAAGACTTATTATTAAACTGTCATATCAATCTGATTCTCTTATAACGAGTATAGCATTTCAAAACACTTAGATCTTTATTCTCTCTATATGTGTGTGACGTACACGTTTTCTTTCTTTCTTTCTCTATTTTGTAACTTAAAACATTTTAATCACTGTCCACATCTCTTTATTTCAGTGGAAGAGCTAGAATGCCTGGCGACATGGAAGGAAGGTAGTCTCCGCTTCTTAGTAGGCAAGCTGCACCACAACCACGCGACCAGCAACGAGGACCGGTACAGATGCTTCGTTTATGAGAAGACGAATGGTAAGCTAACATGTTCACTGTTTTCTCTAAGGCGTTTGACTAGTGTACCTACGCGAAAGAGAGATCCTTTGTCTTTTAAATAAATTTTAGTCCATAGTTAAATGATGATATAATTACTTTAGAAAGATTTATTTTTTTATTTAAAACCTTATCATAAACTATCATTACAGTTTTCTCCATTGCGATAGTTTAGGCCTAAAACTAAATCTATGTACTTACTAATTTAAAACAAGACAAAACAAAATCAGAAAGAGAGCATACACAAACTTAACTATTTATTAAAACTAACGTAACAAAAAAATATTAAGTAAAGTAAAGATGTTCAAACAATCATCAGATAAGTACAGTTAAGAAAGCAGGGCAATGATAATTGATTTTTTTTCGTTCGTAACTTATCAACAGACTCACAAATGGAAGAAAACAACCAAAAAACAATCTTCTTTCCTTTATCCGTGAGTCTGAATTTCTTTTCCTCTTTAATTTTAGACTTACTTCTCAACCCACGTGTTACAGCAACCGGTACAGTGAAGGAGCAGGTGATCCCGCCGGGTGGCATCGAGTACAGGGTCGCACAATCGGGAGACGCAACATGCAACGGACTGTTCAGTGCTACCGAAGGTTCCAGAACTATGGCTCTTAAACGTGGTAAGTTGTGCAGAGTCCATAGTTTTTGTAAAAGAGCTATAAATACTTCTAGAGAATACTCAGGAGACAATCCTGACTGCAAGTGTTTTTAGAGCGACTTTACAATTATTTAGTTTCGTGGAAGAAATAATCGAATCAACGACAGCAGCAGTTATATTTATCAATTATTCCATTAGAGAATTACTTACTTTGTTTATCGCCGTCAACCGAATCACTTATTTGATTAGTACCTCGAATTTTTCTAGGGTATAAGTTCTTGTTCTTATTTTTAATGTGGAATTCCATAATTCTAGTGTCAGTCCGCTTCAACTGCCAGTTCCCTACGTGGATGACGTTCTCCCACACGTGGCACACGCTGGACTTCACCAGCAACTACACGTTCTACCAGCGGAACGCCACGTTGAGGATAACCAACCAGACTGGCGCAGACATCAAGGTGTACTGCGTCAATGTGAAGGCGAGCTCGCCGAGCGGGAACTCTGTCGCACTGGTTGCACATTGGCAGCACCATTGGTGAGTTGAACATTTTGGTTGCGTCTTCCCTCTCCCTCTAATCCTTGTATGAGACAGCTATAAGGACGTCAGTTATAATCTGTGTGCCCAATGAAGGCTTTTTGAGAGTATTTTATATTAACTAAAAATCGCGGGTTACTCACGTGAATATACTGAGAAAAGCTCTACTAGTTTCGGGCCACAGAGGGGCTCTTCCTCATGAGCAGCGTGTGCATTCGCGGCGATGTTGCGAAGCCTTCTAGGATTTTTTTATTTGATACTTTTGTTGATTTGACTGAATTAAGAAAGCAGAAATGAAATAAGTTATTCTAGTTAGAATTAATCTGTTGTCTAGATATTCAAGATGAATCTCTACACCAATGTACTGTAGCCGTCTTTTTAACTGATTTTTTCTTTGTTTTTTAAGGGGGAAAATCATTTAATGTTTTTCCCGCCTAGATGAGACTGTGTAAACTCTTACTGACTAAACTGTATTTTTAACTGTTGTGGTCACAAGTGAGACAGGAGCCATATACCGTAGCTATGGATTGTAATCAGTAAGAGGTCGGCACTTCCTACCGACTCTATTCGTGATTTTCCATCCTCACAATAAATTTTAGAAAGTTTTCCCATTACCTTTTTTATGAACCGGCTTCTTTTTCCAACCCCAGTGTATCCCGCTACGTGTGCGTGGTCCTGTACCGGCGCGACACGTACATCGCGGAGCTGCAGCGCGGCGCGCCGACGTCGCGCCCGGACGACGCCTGCTCGCCGCATCACTTCAATGCTGTCACTGCGCCTTATGTCACTTTAGTAGGTTAGTCATTGCCCTGCACAAAATAGAATAATTGTCCTGAGATTATTATACATATATTAATTAGCAAATACTATAGTTTTCCCGAATAATATCGTGTCTGAAAAGTGTAAGTACTATCGTCTCCCATTATTGAATTCCACACTTTGCTAGATTGGTAAAAGATCAATACTTTCCATTCTCTGGTGTAACAAGGTAGATGTGTTAAAAATATGTTTGTGAGGATATTCAGTCATTTTAAAAATTTATATCCTTAAATTGGCGCTAGTATCCCATAAAGTCATTTGAAAGTTGGGTATTTGATAGCTCTACAACCATCGATTCCTATCCATTGATTACGATTAGTATTTTTGCACACAAAACTACCCCTCGCATGACATTATTCATTATTATTTGTGTCTTAAAATCAAATTGTCTATTTTCCAGCAAGCAATCCCGAATCAAAAGAGTGTCCCTATTCCGGAAAATATGAAATACAAAATCGTCGCAAGAGAGATACGAGATCGAGTGAAGATAATAGTAGTAAGAGAGAGAAAGCAATGCTGGAACATAATCGTAGGGTTAATGGGAGTAGGTTGTTCAATTTTAGCGTAAGCAACATGTCCAGTGCTCCCATGTTGAGGAGTAGAAGGGAGTCGGAGGGAGAAGTAGCCTGCGTCGTCAACAGCTACAACAGGCTAGAAGTTGGCTGCAACTCCGTCAAGAATATGGAGTTCTATTCCACGTGTGAGAATAGAGAAGTCGTCACTGGTGAGTTGAAACCGTTGTTTAAAATAGAATATTGAATTTGACCTTATCATCATAGGTAAATTGGTTTCTGAAACAATCAATGAATCAACTAGCACCAATTACCTACCTAACTCTCTGTTACCGTAATGGGAGTTGGTCTTAAATGACCATTACCTTTGAGTCACTAGACCACTATCGTCCATTAGTTTAGTCACGTTACATTTGGGTTTTCCTTTTTAATTTCCTAAGTACCTACATAACAACATGTTATGAATAAGTAATACGTCTACATGGTAAAAGCATAATTGTAGTGACATAACAATATTATTTTCAGCTTACACGTGTCACGGCGGCTGGTACGAGAACGGCGCGTCGTTCGTGGTGACGACGCCGGTGACGCGCGACAGCACGGCGGCGCGGCGGTACTGCTTCGTGGCGCGCGACCAGCCGCGCGCCGCGCTCGCTCTGCGTCGCTCCGCCACCAACTGCGACCGCACTGACACCGCGCCGCATCTACTCTTTGACGCCACCGCTACTGGTAACTACTTTTAAAACAGATAAAATCACAAAATCTTTTCTTTACGAAATAAATTATACCACGAAATACCCAGTCGTAGCACCGATTTATCACAGGAGTGGTCCCAATACCGACCCCTGAGGAACACCGCACGACATTGTTCGCTGATCTGTACCTATGCCTTATGTTCTACTTGAGTAGTTATCAAATCTCTCTGATAAGTAGGTAGACCTTAACAATCCGATGAAGTTAGGAAGGTACACCATGATAAACGAGCGCTTCCCTAATGCAAATCCAAATATTATTTGGTAATTATTAAAAAAACACCTAGCTTCACCTAGCTTCACTGACGGACTGACTGACAGACTATTATTTATTTTGTTTTTGTTGACGTTTCAAAAGTACCAAATTATGGTTTAATTAAAATACATGCTTTGACTTTGACTTTAATAAATTATTCAGCTTTTGATGAACACTTGAAGGGACTGTCACGAATACTTAGGTATGTACTTAGGCACGTAAATAATGTTGGTATACCTAACTGTTATTTTTCCATTGCAGGTGAATGTCAAGATCAAACGAGCCATCAACCAGCTCTGAGGATATCCCTAACTTTTGTAATATGTCTCCCAATCATACACTACGTAATACCGAGATGATTCCTAGTAAACGACACAAAATAAGTCATTTCGGACCCCTCACCCTTGTAATTATAGCTACGAAAATAGGCAGGCTTAGAAACTATTTAGTACCACCTTTAGTTACAACACTTTGTAAACATAAATAACAAGCCTTTTTTCCAGTAATTTTCGTTAAAAAATTAATATTGTAAAACATTTAAAATCGATTATAACGTTTATCAATCATAGATAGATTCAATCGCCTAAAACATGATATTGCCATAACAAAAAATAGCTAAAATAACGAATAACCGTTATTTTAAAGTTGTTATTTCATTATATTTAAATGTACAATTTTAGATAATAAATTGACATGATAGATGTCGTCTTGATTGCACAAAATGCACGTATATTTCTTGATTTCTTCTTTTTTATGATTGTTGCCTCCAAGTTAAATTATTTTTGATAACTGAACTAATAATATTGTAGGAGGGTCGATTGTAATAAGAAAAAAGTAACTCTGGAGGTGGTCAATGGGCTACCGTTTTTTACTCACTAAATAGCTCCATATGAGGCCTGTTGATCGAATCAACTATTATCAAACCATTGGTTATTCAATTTTGACAGCTACAGTGTTGGACAAATGGCCATCATTATCAGTACCATAATATTTAATTTTTTCTCAAAACTCTCTGTATGATATGATATGTAAATTAAAATTGAACGAAACAATTTAGACTCCAATAGACAGTTTTATTATTTCAATAGATAAATGTGATTCTTGGAGGCACATCTGTTTGGATGTCTTGTGTATAGAAGTACTATATTCTATTAGTAAATTGTTATCCTTGGACCAATTTATAAAAATCATTCCCATTACCTTCATATCCAGCAAGATTTTTTTATCTAACTTCAAAGCTTTTTAGATAATTATGTCTACTTGTACGTCGACAAGAACTTTGGTTTTTCCGTTTAAATACTTTATAGGTACTTGTGTATCATCAATCTTACGTAATATATTGGTTTTGTACAGTATAGATTAATAAAAATTACCTAATTAAAAAATTATTACTCATCTGATTTTATATTTTGGTCCAAGGATTACACAATTTAGACAAAATGGTTGGTAGATTTGATGAGAATGGTTGTGAAATAATTCTTGTTGCGACAGTTTTATATATTATGCAGAAATGTCCTCGGCTTCTTATTTCATTTTACCTAATATTTTTGTAATTTTTATTTCTATAACATATTTAGATTTGTGTTAACTTTAATTGATGATGCATTTAAAATATTTTGCCATTTGTTTGTTGGAAAAATATGTATCAAACGTAATATTATTTATAAAAAAACTTGTATAATTTGCTCACACGACCTGTCTCCCATTTATAAACTTTTGGCGCCTTTGGACATAAAAGGTTTAGGTAGGCGAAACCGATATTATTTATACATACACAAAATATAGTCTATAACTTATACTTATTACATTATTTAATCTTAATACAAATTAGTACGTTCACTACAATTATGAAGCTTCGAATTATGTACAAAATCATTGTAAAATGTTACTGAGTAGCTAGAATAATTTTACGATCTAGTTAATTAATTAACTTTATTTTTTTATTTAATCCCATTGTTTCTTACCTTACCTTTTGTATATTTTGATTTGTGTAAATTAAAACGTAATCATAAGTTTTTAGATACATAATAATTAATAAGCACAATTATTTATCAAGGCCCCATTTAGTTGGCGTTGGCGTTAGTGAAATAAGTTATTTAGATAAACCTTAGTTAAACGGTTTATTTTGATCAACCTAAATAAGTTATTTTTAAAAGTTATAATTAAATTCTTCACCCTTATTAGATTTCATTACTTATCATTAACGGGCCATTATATTTTTTGCAAACTGAGTGCACAATATCGACACTTCTGACCAACAGTTTTAAGTAACTATGTATATGGTTCTCTTCGCTTACCTTTTCCAATCATTTATTTTAGACGTAAATGATTCAATCTTAACCTACTACCAACAACTTTTACATGTTAAATAATAAAGTATAAGTGTTACAAACTTTGACAAATTTAGTCAGAAGTGTTGTTAACCTTCCAAAAACTCAATGCTCAAACTTGGCTAGATTAGCAAATTATTTTCTAAATGGATGGGGTCTAAATGATTGTTACAATGCACCATATAATGGTTGCTTCACTAACTTTGTACTAATGTATTTGTTACGACATTTTCACGAGAAAGCAATGTTTTCTCAAATCAAGCAATACTACTATAGGTAAGATTAGATAAGACTAAATTTAGTTAAGTAAAAACGAATACTCATTTTGAGATCAATGTAAAATTTAATTAAGTTATTAGATAATAAAATCGCAACAGCAATAATATATTTGTATTTATAGCTATTGAGCGTTAAATTTTTAATAGTTAGTAGACAGTTGTGGATAATGGAGCTAGCGTTGTTGTTTTATAATGTGACAGAGAGATTATTTCTTTGTGGAAGCTAACTTGTAAGGGAATCATTATAAACGTAAATAATTAAATAAAAATACTTTAAAATGGTTTCCTTCGAGGTTATCATCGATATGTTTCCAATGTGTGATATAGGTACATTGAAATTAATTAAGTATATAGTCGTCAGCATGGATTAAAATAAACAGCGAAATTGATTTTGATTTGTTTTATTTTTTATAAATCCTTATATAAAACCAATTACCAAATAATTCCCACCGCTTTTTTCCAATAAGAACAAGTTTTTAATAACATTTTCTAATACTTATACATAAAAGTTTTTTAAATACTTTGTCAGTCACTCAGATATTTTAATACTTTTGAACGCCATCTATCGGCGATTAAAATAATTTCATGAGGCCAGACCTAAGTAAATAGTGTACAAGATTACTCTTCAGTTCTAAATAAATAAAAGCAAGCTAAATGGTTGCTTTTTATAGTTCTGTATTATTGAGTCACGAACAAAAAATAACAATAAAAACTATAACTTATACGTACCTATTTATTAATAAAATGAAAACGTTTAAAAAATATTGCTACCTACTGAATTCAACGAACGAAATCCACTAAAAGTTTTGTAAAATTTTGTAAAACTTGAGGATAAAAGTAACGAAATTGTTCATAAAACATTGTTTTAATTAGAATCTACAAAACACTCTCAACAACGTACCTTAAAATAATATAACGTAGACATCAACGCAACGGAATAACCGTTTTGTACTATAACCGTTATAACTACAACGAACGTTCAAATGAACGCAGCCATAACGCAGTGTTACCAACAGAATAAACATAACACTCCATTCAAAGCTGTCAACATTCTGATAAGTCATGTCATGTGTTGGTGTTGCTTGGCTTGCTTGCTTTCAGCTTTCTTTACTTTGCTTGTACGCGCGTCGTCAGTCAATCGGACTGTTTATGTGTAGAAACATCTATCGCATAACACACAAATCGTAACAACAAACTCGATCGTCATTATAAAACCGAAACAAGCTCTGTACAGTGCCAATATCAAGAGGATATTTAGGAAATATGTGAAAGTGACAGTACCAAAATCGACATAGTTTTTGTGTGAATATAATGTTATTTCGCATATTTTCGAGTACCGTCAGTTAGTGTATCAGCGTTTATAAAGAAGATGTTACGCGTAAGGCATAGTTCTTGTGTAGTGGAGGACACTTGATCGGGAACACTATGTTCGAAGCAGGATAAGCGTACTCGATTATAGCACGATCAGCTATAATGCAACACGAGTGTACGCAGGAGGGTGGCAGGAGCAGGTACGAGCGGCGAAAGCCGAGCAAGGTGCTGAAGATAGCAGAGAGCTTCACGAACTTGGATGAGACTGCGAAGTCGGGGCGTTATGTGCGGGGCCCTCACTCGAAGTTGGGGCGCAGGTACCGGGATGGTGAGACCGGGAGCCGGACTAAGCGTGCGGTGTGTTGTGATGATGATTGTGATAAGGAGTCAGGTGTCAGTGAGGATTGTGAGAGACTGGGTGACCGCAGGGTGACAGGCTCGTCATGCACGGCCCTGCGGACTGCTGTGGCCGCGCTCTATCCCTTCGACGACTTCATACTCGAGAAGATTGGCACCGGATTCTTCTCTGAAGTTTTTAAAGTAAGTCCTTAGTTTACATACTTACCATAACAATAAGCATTCTTTATTTGTTTACAAGTCTAATATTTAAGCTATGCAAAATATACCAGTTTTCTAATTGATTCTCAGTGTGAAAAATATTATCAACATTACATTATCTACTGAGTTAAATTGAAGACCTGAAACAAATACCTACTTAATCAAAACAAAACCACTAGATAACCTGATTCTACAATCTATAATCTCCTTCAACAACTGCTATTGCAACAAAAAATGTCTAAACTAGTTTCTTGTGTATTACACAAAAAAATAACTAAAACTCAACCAGCTGTTACTATGAATAAATTAGAAGACTAGACACTTTCAACAATCTTTAAGAAATGCTCTTTAGTTTACTGAATAATTAAGTGTGTGGAAAATTGTATAATACAATTCATATAAGGTTACAATATTATTATTTACTCCATTTAAACTCAAATTGGTATAAACAATCCATGCCAAATTCACAGAATTCCAATTGCAATATTTACCATAATAATCAAAACAAAAACAACCTTATTAGGTAGGTACTTATTTCTAAACAGAATTAAAAAAAAACCCTTTACTGAAGTCCATAAATAGGTAAATTCTAATAAATGAATCCTAACATGTGTCAACAAATGATGTAATTAGAATTATAAACCACAACATGAATGTAAACAAGTTATTCATTACATTAATAATATTCTAGTAAACGGATTAGTAACGAGAAATTATCCTAATAACAGTTTACAAAGTAATCAAAAATAATATTACTTAAATATCTTGGCTTATTACCTCCATAATACAATGTAAACAAAGTAAGGTACATCCTTAATTATGCCGCAAATATCTTCAATTAATGCCATTCTATTTGGCACCTTTTGTCACCTTACCATTTCACCGACATTGTTGGCACTGCGCCATAATATTAATGGCCCTTTATAGTAATTTATTGGCCATCTAAATATCTGCCCCAAGCATGTACTCAACACTTATGATAGTGCATAGCAATAATATTTCTGTCATGTTAATACATTAATGCTGTCATTCTAAACAATATTAATTCCGTTTAATTTATTGCTTGAGAAAAACTTTAAATGTGTTATTTATTCTATACATACATAATAAATCTGTACATCAGTATTCTGTACAGCTTAAAGAAATTGCTAGAAATCTTGTTGAAATTCATTAGAATGTAGAAATTATAATATTGGTTACACAAATAATTTCATTAAATATTCAAACTTATATATGGCATTCCTAAGTTTAGACGTTAAGAAATTGCTTCACACGTTGAATTAATATATTTAAACCTCTCTGCTATAAATATATTCATATTCTTGTTGAAGGACATTCTGATTCTTGATTGAGATTTCATGCAAAGTGTGAAGAATGCAAAGTGCTGCCAAACATCCATTTAAAAGTTCAT